CTCCCGGGGGAGACCAGTCTTAAGAGCAAAAGGATTCCCAAAGATTCCCAGGGAAACAGCCCTAAAGCTCTGAGGAATTTCGGAGGGAAAAACAGCTTTGAATATCCAAGAACTCCAGCTGAAGTGACTACAGGCCTACTGGTAGGTCCACTCGGTGCTTTGAGACGCAGTTCAACCCAGTAGTGGCGCCCACATCAGTTAGGTTTAGGTTCACAGTTAGCCTGGGAGAAGTTTGGAAAGGGATTTTCCTTTAGAGTAAAGTAACAGTTAGAAGCCACAGTAGCACAAAAGCCTGGAAGCATTTGTTTAACCCTTTGAAGACAAAGAAGTTTCTGTTGATTGTTCACCAATAAAGACTTTGTTATATTTCACAAGCCCTCAAAAGACTGTTTATGGTGAAAATCCTTAAGAATTTCTCTTCGGGCCCCCTGGCTTCCCGCTGGGCTAAAGTTGCACATCCTCTTTTAAAAGCAATTCATTTCAAGCCCAGCGCGCGACAGAACAGGTAATGAAATTTAGATTGTTGGGTGTATCCATATCACATATTTGACCCAGTTTGATGCCACTTTGTCATGGCTCCAATTTATGGAATTTGGGGATTTGCGGTTTGGTGAGCAGATTCAAATTTTCTGATGCAATTTCCTAAACTACAGCGTTATAGCAATTTGGTGGAGAATTCTAAGTATCTTACCAATTAAAATGGGATCAAAGTGCTTTAATTGTGCAGTGCAGACACATCCGTCTTGGAAGATATCTGATTGTGACACATGAGGCCCCTTAGACTTTGCCAACAGGGCACTAAGATCATCTGCTGTAACAGCATTTATTATTTTTAAAAAGTATTAAAAAAAAGAAATGAAATCTCTTTTTAATACTTTTCCCCCATTTTCCACATCATTTGCCAAAGTTTTGTTGCCCATGAGACGCTCCGTATTTGTTTGAATATTAAAAACTTTGCATACAGATAATTAGGCAAGTGGAAACTGAAATGATCAAACAAGGATAATGCTATTAAACATGATGAATTAAAAAAATCTTAATAGGTAACCTCTGTGAGACAATTTCATTCCTGCTTCATGAAATTACATCTTCTATTTATACCACTGGCTCCCTGCTTGCTTGCCTTCTCTTTAAAATGAGGGGGGGAAATCATTTGGGGACAGTGAGACTAATTGGATAGATATTATTATCTGTGTTCAACGTCACCTGGGAGAGAAGTGATCTTCCTGCACTGTCTCCGTTGTCTTAAAACTTCTCTGACATTTTCAAGTTTATTATTTTGGGAAGGACAAGGAGGAAATAGAGAGAAAGGTTTGGTGAAAAAAATGGCCTAGATACTATTGTTAGTACTCGACTAAAACACACCCATTGACTCAATGGGATTTCCCTATGTCTTGCTTTCCTCTTCAACACCAGATTCAATGGGTCTGCTCTAGTGAGTGACAGAGAAAGAAAATAGTGTCTCTGGCATGAGAAAATCAAAATTCAAATCCCAGAAGAGAAGGATATTCATCTGCAGGCATGGTTTAGGAGTCAGCTGTATTAAGATCACTACTGACCAGAAGGTCATGAGTTCAAAGCCAGCTTGGGTTGGAGTGAGCTTCTGACCAATTTGTGTAGCTTGCTGTCAACCTTTGCAGCTCGAAAGACAGTTGCATCTGTCAAGTAGGAAATTTAGGTACCGCTTATACAGGGAGGCTAATTTATGACGCCATAAAAAAATCTCCAGCAAGCATGAAAAGAATGGGGAAGTACTTCATCAGTGTCACAAATGGACGGCAAAGCAACAGCTCCCCTGGTGGCCAGAATACCCTCATGAAAAAGCTGGAATATTAAATAGCCTCTGAGTATCTGTCTATATATGTTGTGTGTCTAGGGGATTTAATGTTTACCATGTATATGTACATTGTAATTCGCCCTGAGTCTCCTGCGGGGTGAGAAGGGCAGAATATAAATACTGTAAATAAATAATAATTAATAAATTAAATGAAAGATGCTACAGAACGGAGTTCTCTGGTTTAAGACAGCTGGCCAAGCATGCTTCTTCTGAGACATTCCTGTCTATTTTCTTGCTATTTATCCCATTCCTGGATATTCCACCCCATTCTGCTGGGTTCTCACTTTCCCCCTTCCCAATGGATAGTTTGTGCTCGCTCCTATATACCAAAGGAGGACAATATTTCCCCTCCACACTAAAAATCTTTAATGCCAAAACAATCTCTAAACTCCTCTTTGATGCAGCCATATGGTGTGAAAATTTGACTCTAAACTTAAGAGTTCAATCAAGATTTATAAGAGATCTCCTAAATGTGCCTTCTTATGTAACAAATGCAGTCCTGCTTCTGGAAACAGGTGGTGAATGCTCATTGAGTACAAGAGCCTGGACCTTAAAAATGAACCTTTGACTAAAAACAATGGTATTGAAACTGGGAACAGGTTTACTACCTCACCTCCCTTATGAAGCTTCCAAAACATTCTGAGAAGGAGGATTGAACAGAAAGTGGTCTCAACTGGGCTATCCACATCTCTTTTGCTCCATTTGGGATTCAAAATGGCACAAGAATCCCTGAAGCAAAGGTTGCGTGATTTTGCCTAGGAAAGCTTAGAACTTGCTCAAACTCACCACCCTCCCCCAGAGTCCTAAACTTACCATACAGAGAGCCATTTAAAACACATGAATACCTAAAAATCCTTACAGTGATTAAATACCACAGATTATTTACAAAGGTGAGATTAAACTTATTTCCTTCAGAGCTGCTAAATCCTAACGCCCAAAGACTGGAAGGCCTTACTTCCAAAGACTATGCCCCTGTGAAGGAAATGAAGTAGAAACAACAGAACACATTTTATTGCTTTGCCGCTATTATACAGTACAATGTAGCCAACTTCTATATCCAATTTTGTCTCACATAACCAGATATCTTCTAGAAGACAAGTGCCACATGGTGACTCTCACAGTGGCAAAATTCCTCACAGTGCAAGAAAGTTGAGAAACAAACAAACTTGAAACTATGTAGATATATCTGGTATCTGGTAAAATGAACTTCTCCTGAGATGGGAGAATTTATAAAAAACTGTCTGTTCACTTGTTGTATACTACTTCTCCACCATCGAAAGTATGCTCTGATGCCACAATGCTTGCAAACTTTCAATAGATGGCATTGGGTGCAATAAAAGACTACAATGGGATATGACTCCTGATCCTTGGTGGTTGCCAACTTTTTCTAACACCGGTAGCCCACACTTTTCATTGAGCAATGGCTCAGGAACATCTCATTTGCTTTCCTGCTTGTGCACAGCTAGTCCTTGAGCCATTTCTGATCTACACAAATGCTGAAGATTACCCTTTCCAGCAGTACTGAACCCAAGCTGAAGAGCAGAGCAGGAATGGCGAAGGGACAAAGCTGCTTGGACCGCTGACAATGCCATTTCCAAAATGTCATGACCGGCAATGAAATTAGTGGTGCCAGAGATTGATATTGCTTCAGTAACGATGTGCAGGAAGAAAGATGCCGGAAATTAAAGGGTAATTAAATTCGAGCCTGACTTTGGTTGGTGTGAGGCATCATTAGCAACATGAAGGAATTATTCCTGCCAGATTTGATGATGCACCAAAAATGGGCATTTAAGAAGTCATTTGGCTGAAGATGAGGTACCTGTTAAAACCTCCAAAAAGGCTCAAGGGATGGATGGGAACGATTACTTGGAATGAGACATTTGGCTCTTAAACACTCTTCGTGCTATTTATCTCTCAGCTGTTTTCTGATATATGACAAAGCGGGGATGTCCAATTTATGTAGGAGGCTGAAAATCTATTGTCTAGAAAGTGGTTGTATAGCAGGCTTCCCTAATTTAGTACTTGCTAGCTGGACTACAACTCCTAACAACCCTTATCAGCATGGCCAAGGATAGAATCATAGAATCGTAGAGTTGGGCGAGACCACAAGGGTCACATGCCAAACACATCTATGGACTTCTAGATGTTGAACTACAGCTCTTGGTTGCCACTAAGCTTGTGCATTTTGGGTGAATTGCTATCTCTTTCTGCTTTCTAGGAACCAGAAGCCCCCGATATTCATTTTCCAGCGCCGTATATATGCTGTGCTCCGCCCTGAGTTCCCTTTGGGATGAGAAGGGCGGAATATAAATATTTTAAATAAATAAATAAAATAAATCCAAAGATAGTAGCTAAAGAATTGTAGATGTTGATGAAGTTCGATGCTTTCCTTAAGTGTCCATTTTCTGCTCAGATGCAACCTTTCTAGATCTAGTTTGAATTTAATCAAGCAGTAGAAGACAAACCCAAGAAATTATATTTACATTTGATTTGAGCCTAAAGCTTCTCTTTTCAGAATGGCCTTTTTAGTCGACAGTTGTGAATGCGTGGCCCCTCTATATGTTCTTGGATTGCGATTCCCATAATCCATCATCATTATCTATATGTTCTTGAATTGCGATTCCCATAATCCATCATCATTATCTACTCTGTGGATGGGGTATGGAATTTGATACCACGTGAAGCACCACACATTCCCCATCCTTGGGTTGTATTTGTCTCAGACAGGTGTCTTTCTGAAAGACACCTTAATGTGCTTGCGATTACTTTATTGGATCTTTCAAGTATAATATGCACATTTTAAAAAGTAATGCATCTCAAGCCATGAGAAGGAAGGCAGATTAGACACATTTGAAATGAATAAATTATAGACTGCATGCATAGCATGTTGCTGATGCTAAATGAAGCACCATTTAAAGTGTTTATCACCCACTGCCAGGATTTACAGAAACATTCAATCGATGATTCAACACTACTTTTTGTTTTTAAAACCTCTCTTGCTTTTCATCTGAAAACGAATCACAGCTCACACTTTTCATATCACTCTTTCATTATTTTGACCGTACGACCCATTTCTCATTTTCCTTTCATGGCGCCCAAGTCTAGAGTCAACATTGGAGTACAAAGCTTCAATTTTGGGACAATTGGTTACACTTTTACGTACCCCTTTTGCATCAATGACACCAGGCTTCGAATTAAACTTCACCGTCTTTAAACGCGCTCGCTCTTTCCTTTCAACCCTGGTGGGAATAAAAGAGATGGGAAGAAAGAAACTATTTTTAATGATCTATGAAAAGATGTTCCAAGGCATTGTAAAAATCCATTCTAAAATATAGCAATAATACAGCAAAGAATGCAGTATTGCAACAATAACCACCATCCCAGCATAATAATATAAATCAGGCATGGGCAAACTTTGGCCCTCCAGGTGTTTTGGACTTCAACTCCCACAATTCCTAACAGCCTACCGGCTGTTAGGAATTGTGAGAGTTGAAGTCCAAAACACCTGGAGGGCCCAAGTTTGCCCATGCCTGATATAAATAGTAACAAAGTAAAATATAATGTAATCTATATAAATAAAAATGTAATGTTCATTTGTGGGATTAACAGAACTCAAAAACCAGTGGGCCAATTGACACCAAATTTGGATGGCATACATCTAACAACCCAATGTAGGTCCTTCACTCAAAATTTTTCATTTTGTCATTTGGGAGTTGTAGTTGCTGGGATTTATCGTTCATTTACAATCAAAGAGCATTCTGAACTCCACCAATTATGGCATTGAATCAAACGTGGCACACAGGACTCCCATGAGCAACAGAAAACACTAGAAGGGTTTGGTGGGCATTGGCCTTGAGTGTTAGAGTTGTAGGTCACCTACATCCAGAGAGACTCAAACAATGATGGATCTGGACCAAACTTGGCACAGATATTACATATGCCTGAATATGAACACAGATGGAGATTGGGGAAAATATACCATGACATTTGGGAGTTGTCATTACTGGGGATTATAGTTTACCTACAATCAAAGAGCATTCTGAACCCCACGAATGGCACACAGAACTCACAGAACCCCCATGACCAAAAGAAAATACTTAAGGCCATCCAGTCCAACTCCTTTCACCAGGGCAAGAAAACATAATCAAAGCCCTCCTGACAAAGAGCCATCCAGCCATAGATATAGATAGATAGATATGATCCACACACACACAGATATAGTATCATAGATTTGAAAGGGACCCCTAAAGAAGGACTATGATATGTTGCATGTTCCAGAGTAGGCAAAACAGACACTCTCACATCAACACTGACCAAAGAAACAGCAAAGAAATACTGTTTACTCACAAGAATAAAGGAATTACATATATTAGAAACCAACACTTTCTCATTACTTTATTTTCCAGATCAGCCGACTGGGCGTGGCAGGGGACAGCTAGTATATAATACATACAATGTAATATATAATATTAATATTGTGCTATGATAATAATAATAATATATTGTATTTACTTTTTACTTGTAAGCCGCTCTGATTCCCCTTCGGGGTGAGAAGGGCAGCATATAAATGTCGTAAATAAATAAAATATACAAATAATACAAACCATAGGAACAAATACTAAAGCACTGCTTCCAACTGTACCAATTTGGCAGTGATTTTCCCAGTTAATCCTTCGTTACCTCACCTTTTCAGTATTTTTAAAAATGTCCCAGCTTCTCTCTCCTTCTCCCATGTCCTCCCTTTGTCTTTAGCTTATATTAATTGCTGCAAATTGAGCACCAAAATTTGCATTCAGCCAGCTCCGCAGGGCCAGAGGAAAGATGAGGATGGAAACACAGATTTGGAAGAGACCCCAAAGGCCATCCTGTTGAACCCCTTTCTGCCATGTAGAAACACACAACCAAAGCACTCCTGACAGGTGGCCATCTAACCCCCAGACAATGGGATTCCAGCACACTCCAAAGCAGCATATCTCACTGACAAACAGCTCCTATAGTCAAGAATTTCTTCCTAATACTTAGTTAGAATCTGTTTTCCTGGAATTTGAAAATGCAAATTCAAACTACAAGAAAGGAGATTCCATCTGAACATGAGGAAGAACTTCCTGACTGTGAGAGCCGTTCAGCAGTGGAACTCTCTGCCCCGGAGTGTGGTGGAGGCTCCTTCTTTGGAAGCTTTTAAACAGAGGCTGGATGGCCATCTGTCAGGGGTGCTTTGAATGCAATATTCCTGCTTCTAGGCAGGGGGTTGGACTGGATGGCCCATGAGGTCTCTTCCAACTCTATGATTCTAATGGCTGATCTTGGACAAGTCACACTCTCAGCCTAAGAAAAATCTGTGATAGGTTTACCATAGGGTTGAAATTACTTGAAGGCACACAACAACAGCAAACAGCTTTTGAAGGCATGTATAGAAATAGGAGCACCCAGTGGCACAATGGGTTAAACCTTTAGAAGGAACCTCACCGGGACTGTGGCGCAGTTGTCTGCGAGTCAGCTGCATTAAGATCACTACTGATCGAAAGGTCATGAGTTCGAAGCAAGCCCGGGTTGGAGTGTGTGTAGCTTGCTGTCGACCTTTGCAGCCCAAAAGACAGCTGCATTAAGATCACTACTGACCGAAGGGTCATGAGTTCGAAGCCAGCCTAGGTCAGAGTGAGCTTCTGGCCAATTTGGGTAGCCTGTTGTTGACCTTTACAGCCTGAAAGGCAGTTGCATCTGTCAAGTAGGAAATTTAGGTACCGCTTATGCAGGGAGGCTAATTTAAATAATTTACGATGCCATAAAAATCTCCAGCAAGCCTGCAAAGAATGAGGAAGTACTTCAGCAGTGTCACAAATGGTTGGTGAAGGGACAGCTCCCCTGGTGGCCAGAATACCCTCAAGAAAAGCTGGAATATAAAATTGCTTCTGTGTCTGTCTATATATGTTGTGTGTCTATGGCTTTGAATGTTTGCCATGAATATGTGAGAAGGGCAGAATATAAATACTGTAAATAAATAAATAAATAATAAGACTTGGCTGTGGGACCTTGCATTTGACCATTGAACAGAGGCTTGTATGAAGAAGACATAAGCAATTTTGAAGTGACAATGAATTGACCCGGACCCGGATTTTAATTGACATGTTTTAATAACTGTTTATTTAATGTTTTGTTTTAATAAATTTGTTGATTGTTCTTATCATTATGATGGCTTCTGGTCGCTTCTTGGAAGCTGCTAAACAGACTGCGCTCTGACACCACGAGATGCAGAGTCAACCTCAAGAAATGGGGCTACAAAGTGGAATCCACGACATGCGAGTGCGGAGAGAAGCAAACCACTGACCACCTGCTGCAATGCAACCTGAGCCCTGCCACATGCACGATGGAGGACCTTCTTGCAGCAACACCAGAAGCACTCCAAGTGGCCAGATACTGGTCAAAGGACATTTAATCAACAACCAAACTTGCAAATTTTGTATTTTGTCTGTTTGTTTGTTTTGTTCTGTTAGAAATTTAATACAATTGACTGGTTGCCCTGACACAACAAATAAATAAATTATGATGGCACCGAATGGTTTTGCTGTGTGGCCTCCCTGAGACCCCCCTCGGGGGTGAGAAAGGTGGGGTACAAGTATATGAAATAAAAACAAATAAAACCCTTGTGCTGGAAGAACTGAAGACCGACAGGTCAGAGGTTCAAATCTGGGGAGAGTGTGGATGAGCTCCCTCTGTTAGCTCCAGCTCCCCATGTGGGCACATGAGAGAAGCCTCCCACAAGGATGGTAGAACATCAAAAACATCTGGGCATCCCCTGGGCAACTTCCTTGCAGACGGCCAATTCTCTCGAGAGCAGTACATGTGAAAAAGATCTTGGAGTCCTCATGACAACAAGTTAAACATGAGCCAACAATGTGATGTGGCGGCAAAAAAAGCCAATGGGATTTTGGCCTGCATCAATAGGAGCATAGTGTCTAGATCTAGGGAAGTCATGCTACCCCTCTATTCTGTTTTGGTTAGACCACATCTGGAATATTGTGTCCAGTTCTGGGCACCACAATTCAAGAGAGATATTGACAAGCTGGAATGTGTCCAGAGGAGAGCGACTAAAATGATCAAGGGTCTGGAGAACAAGCCCTATGAGGAGCGGCTTAAGGAGCTGGGCATGTTTAGCCTGAAGAAGAGCAGGCTGAGAGGAGATATGATAGCCATGTATAAATATGTGAGAGGAAGCCACAGGGAGGAGGGAGCAAGCTTGTTTTCTGCTTCCTTGGAGACTAGGACGCGGAACAATGGCTTCAAACTACAAGAGAGGAGATTCCATCTGAACATGAGGAAGAACTTCCTGACTGTGAGAGCCGTTCAGCAGTGGAACTCTCTGCCCCGGAGTGTGGTGGAGGCTCCTTCTTTAGAAGCTTTTAAACAGATGGATGGCCATCTGTCAGGGGTGCTTTGAATGCAATATTCCTGCTTCTTGGCAGGGGGTTGGACTGGATGGCCCATGAGGTCTCTTCCAACTCTTTGATTCTATGATTCTATGATACAAAAAAATGTATAGGAGTGGGGTGAGGATATTCATACATGTTTAGGACAGCTAGTTATGTGAATCAGGAGCAAATATTGACTGAAGACTGCACCATTTTCAAAAAATGGAGGGATTTGGGAGATGGTTGGGGGTCTTCAAAGAACACAAAACCGGGGTCCAAAGCAAACACAGAGCAACAGGACAAACAGATGCAGTAATTTCAGGAGTAATGCATCAGCCATTTTCAAAGATTGCTTAAGGATGGCTTGGTTATTTTTGTCCAAAGGGAAAAAAAGTATGAAAACACCATAGGTTAATTACAGTGGAACAAAATAATCGGGAGAATGTTCCCTTCAAGAAGCAATAAAATAAATGCATCTGTTTCCAGAGTTTTTGCTCCTTGTTAATGTTGCCAGCTGCAAACGCATCGAGCTTGAGGTTTCTATAGTTACCACTGAACTTTGGAATAAATGATTTCCCCCCCTGAGAAAGCAGCATGCACATATGGAAATGGCTGAAACACAGCTTTTGTATTCCGTGTGTGATGTTAAATCCACAGGAGGGGAAAAAAATCTTTAATTTTAAACTTGCTGATGAAATTTTATAGTAGAAAGGAAGAGGGGCGCGAAGGAGGAGGAACGAAGACTCAAGGCTGTGTAATCTCCTGAATTAAAAAAAAAAAACAGGGCCGATTGAGGTCACAAAAATGAATAGCTCACAGTGAAATACAACCGC